CTCCACTGGGGAGCTGAGGACTAAATTTACATAAAATGTATATATACACATGCACATCACCCATCCTCTCCCCAGAATGGCTGAGAAAGCTTCAGCATTGTGCCTTCCTTAGTTCCTACAACTTTTACCCATTAATAAAAGTCCAAATCAGCAGATTAACCTAAAAGCTCTTTTTAAAATAAATCTTTTATATCTGATCATATTATACTAACATTGTTTGTCTACATGCAATTATCCCTTTCTAGCTCAGTGCTTCTCAACTTTAAGGAATCTGCAAAGCACCTAGGGATCTCATTAAAATGCAGATTCTGATCAGTAGGTCTGGGATGGAGCCTAGATTCTGCAAATCTAAGAAGCTCCAGGCCTTGCTGCCGCTGCTGTTGGAGGGGGCTGGATGGGGGAGTGGTACACAATTTGAGTAGGAGGATGAAGCCCTTCATGGTTCCACAAGTTCCTTCACTTTCCTCCTACCCTAGCAATGATTCCAAACTTCTAATGCGGATCTTGAAAAATGAATAAAAATTATCAATTGAGGGGAGAAGGAAAAGGGAGGGGGCAGGGAGGGAAAGGGAGAGGGGAGAGAAGGAGGAAGAGGAGGGAGCGAGAGAGTAGGGGGAGGGGCGGGAGTGAGGGAGAGAATAAGCTTGCACATGGGTGCATGTGACCCAGTGTCTCTTCCTCTTCTTATAAGGACACTAGACCTATCAGATTAGGGCCCCACCCTTATGACCTTATTTAACCTTAATTATCTCTTTAAAGGCTCTGTCTCCAAATATAGTCACCTGGGGGGTTAAGGCTTCCACATATGAATTTTGGGGGGACACGATTCTGTCCATAACACTATGTGACTTTAGATAAATTCCTTAATTTCTCCAAACCTCAGTCCTTTCATCCCAATGCCTTGGGGACAAGAGAGAGTTTGACCATTAAATGACAAAAAATGAGGTAACTTGTGCAAAATGCTTTTCATACTATCTGACACAGAGTAAATGTCTTGGCTGTGTTCCCCCAGAAACAGACAAACAATGGAGGGTAAGTAGATTATGTGGAAGCGAAGGAAACAGCAAGAGAGGACCAGAGAAGTGAGATGGTAAAGAGAGAGCAGCCAATAAAATAAAGCATGCTTTATCTAATAAACCACCGCTGCAAACAACTGGAGCTTCAGCTCACTGGGAAAATTCAGGGCCCTGTGTAAAACAAATACCTCAGAGTCACCCTCCACTACCCAGGCAAAGGAGCTGCAGTATTTATGCACCCAAACCCATCAGTCATTGGTTAAGATCTGGTCCTAAGGGATGTTACTCCCCCCCCACTTCTAGCTCACTGGGCCTGTGGACAGCAAGCATGGATACCAGGAAAAACCTTCAGGCAAAAAGATGCCTAATGTGGCTGTTGGAAGCCCTATCATCTCTGCAAGAGGAAGACTTGAGCAGTTCTGGGCAGGTTTCCTCTGTCTGCTACAATGAGTGACCAGGAAACTTTAGTTCTCTGTAATGGTGGTCCTAGTAATTGTACTAGTAGTTTGCAGAACACTAGAAATACCCTTGACAAAAGGGTTCTGGAGGCAAATGTGTGTAAGGAATGCTCGTTACATGGGATTCACAACCAAGACCCTCTTAATGTCCTGACATTGAGATGTTAAACTTTTTTCTTTAATCCTGTGAATTCCAAACATTTACACAAATACTTTTTTATATAATATGTACTTATCTTTTAAGGAATAAAAGTTCTATAATCATGCTTTGGGGATTATTAATTCAGGCTAATAGAGATTTGACTGTGAAAGTATTATAAAGATGTTTTTAATCTGTTTCTGCTTATCATTACAGCCTGTGAACAGTGCCTGGTACATAGAAAGTGTTCAATAAATATTTGTTATTGCAACAGTCTTAAAACAATTAAAGAAACATGTTGAATATATTTTCAGTAACAGCAATCTCATGAAAAATGACTATCTAGTTCCCAAAATGACCATTTCAAAAGACTTTGGAAGAAAGTTCAGCTGAATATACACTTACTGAAATACTGGCCAAAAAGTTTTTTATTTGCCTAGCTTTGTTCTCACTCATTTAGATGAAATACTTTCCTAAAAATTGAGGACCCAAGCTGTTCGAAGCTGTTGTCCACTTCACCAGGGAAGAAGAACTTCTCCCCAGATCTGTATGTGGATCAGGGACATAATGGTACTAAGGTCTTTATGGTCCAACCTTGCTAAAAAGAGTATTTCAACTTTTACTTCCTTCTTCTGCACTTCACCCTTTTGTTGAATACTGAGGTTTGCAGCTGTGACACCACTATAGAGTGAGAAGAATAAAATTAGAGGACTTCTGACAAGTGCGTCCCCTTTAGCGCTGATGTCAGGCAGAGCTTGCTATTTGCTGGCCTCAAATGTCAGCTGCAGCCAGGGTGAGTCCCTGTCACTCTTTCTCATCCTCTGACAAGACCTATGGCATTTTTGACCTGGTGCAGTTGCTACAGCTGCAACGAAGTGTGCGTGATAAGTGGGATTTGCAATAAATAGGCTTTTCTCTGTAGATCGCCACTCCAGCTGGGCTTCCCTGCCATCTCTGCCCAACAGTCCTAAGAATGGCAACATCAGTGGCAACTCAGTGCTTGTCCATCACTATGACAATGAAAGGTTTGAAACTCTAATTATTACTGATTCTTTGGAGCTAAGGTGGAAGCCTGGAGGCCATAAAATGAGTTTGTTTTGTTGCCTGGTTGATTAGCCACTTGTATACCCAAATGGCCATTTCTTAAGAAGGGATATTTCCTGGGAAATTGCTTATCTTCCTATCAATTGCAAAAAGCAGGAGCTGGCACATAGTAGCATTCGCTTCCTACCTTGCAAATGGAAATGTTGGCATTTCTAGACAAGAGTGAGGAGAGAGAACTATAGCCATCCAGGTTCTCGTGGTTTAGTCCCCCTTGATATTTCTTGAATAAAGAAAGATAATGTGTATCCTGTAAGATACAGTCTGTAAAGACAGTTGACCAATACCTAGTAACACGAGTGGGTTACTACAGAGCTGGGAGGGCTGTTGGGGGCACTTGAACCCCTGGGAGTAGGGAGCCAATGTGAATGAAACACAACGACAATGGGAGAAGGTTATTGAGACCAGATTTGTTTGAGAAATGGGATATGTTGTCTTTCTTTAGTCAAATGTTGACCTGGCTACTGCTTACAGGTGACCTTGTTTTGTCATTTATTTGTGCGTCTTCCCCACTTGCCTTTGCTGAAAGACCCCTGCAGAGAAACTATAAGGTCCATGAGGTCAGACATGGCATCTGATTTTGCTTACCACTCTATTCTTAGTGCTTAGTACCAAGTCTAGCACACGGTGGGGGCTAAATAAATGTTTGTGGAATTAATAAAGCATCTGCCACATAGTATGTACTCCTTAGATGGGAGTTTTCATTGCTGCCATCATTGTTGTCATCATCATCATCATTATCGTCCTCATCACCAGTTACAGAAATATTCTTCCCTCTTCAGGTTATAGCAGACCAAACATCAGAATCCTTAAATCCACTTGGCCTAGGGAAGTTCTCTGGACTTTTTTATGTTTGGCATTAGCCCACTCTTGGTATTTTCATAACTCTAACACAGAGACAAAAAAATATGAGGATTTCAAAGAATGGGTTTTTCTCCCTGCCTTTCATGCTGATCTCCTTTGCTCTTTCTATGAGTAAAACATGTACAATATTGTTACTTATTGCTGTGTAAAAAATTACCCCTAAACTTGACAGCTTAAAAAACCAAATATTTATTATCTCACCGTTTCTGTGCGTTAGGAATTTGGGTACAGCTTCTCTGGGTTCCCTGGGTCAGGGTCTCTCACAAGGCAGCAGTCAAAGTGCAGTTATCTCAAGGATCAACTTAGGAGAAGATCTTCTACCAAACTTATGTGCATGGCTGTTGACTGGAGACGTCAATCCCTTGCTGCATGGGTGTCTCTAGAGGGCTGCTCACACCTGGCAGCTTACTTCCTCTAGAGCAAAGGCTCAGAAAGAGAGAGAGAATGAGGGACAGTGAGTCATTTTGTGACCTAATATCCCATCACTTTTGTGGTATTCTATTCATCAGAAGCAAGTTGCAAGTCCAACCCACACTCAAAGGGGGTGGATTATGCAAGAGCATGAATACCAAGAAGACAGGATCATTGGGAACTATCTTAAATAGAAACTTCCTGCAACAATGGGTGATGTTGTTCTCCCTAAGTTTGAGCATGACTTTTTTCCCCCAGAATATTATGGGGGTGCAAACGTTTTTTAAACTCTTTTTCTCCTTAGGAAATCATGTGTTACATACCCATCAGGGCTTCAATGCCTTGCCAAACTTCTCCTTCAAGAGAAGAAGAAAGAGGGGAAACAGGAAATAGGACAAGTTCTGCTAAGAATAGCTTTCAATATGATGATGATTTTCGTTGTCATTGTGCATGTGTACTGACACTGAATCATGAAAAGGACCCCAATTACTCCTGTTGGTTCATCCGAGCATCGGTTACCTGATGACTTGCTTTATAGCTTCCTAATTAATATATTAAAAATAGAGCTCTAGAAGTTTTACTCACAGAAGCTGCATATTTAGACCTTGGGTTCCTTTCCCTCCCTGCACTCCATCCCATACTTTGCATGGAGGCTTAATGTTAATTTGAGAACATTCTGAAGTTTTATCTACTTCATCTTAATATACGTGTTCAACATTGTCCAGCTAATTTTGATATAAATCCTTCAGCAACAATTAAGTCTCCTCCTAATTGACTGAATTATCTATAATTCCTAACTCACTAATTCTCTTATATCACACACCATCAGAGGAAAGAAAAAAGGGAGAGAACCAAGGACAAGCCTTGAAATATAAATGGACATAGGTATTGTATAGGTATTGTCACAATTTCAAGTAGAACTTTGAGCGCAGAATTTTGTAAAGAAAACTTTTTTAAATAGACCTACAGATAAATGACTGATATCTTCACCCTTTGTTTCCTTTTGTGCAGATTGTTTCCCAGAGAAAGCTGTCTAAATCCTTGCTGAAGCATGGGAACACAGCAGGGAAATCCTCCATCACGGTGAGTAAGCGCTCCCTAAGCAGCCGTCTGCCCAGGTGTGGTGCCAGGACGGGCTGGCTAGTCCAAATCGGTCACTTGGGAAGCAGATCCTCTGGCTACTGAGAGTTGATGTCATAATTGCTGTACTATCCAAGTCACCTCTTTTTTTCCCCCTTATTTCTCTTTCCTGACATTATAATTGGATCCTTCTACCCCTACGAAAAATGGGGAAGAAAAAGAATTTGAAAGTGAGATCACTTATTTTACTAAGCACTTCTGCAATTGCAAGATAGGTTTTAGAGGAAGAGAAAGATGGAGTTATTTAGCACAGTGAGAATATGGAATTGTTTGGGCTTTCAAATCATCAAAGCTACCTATCCCTGTCTCATTTATTTTGAGAATTAAAACTTTGTTTTAATAGCATTTAGTCCAAGCTTGGTTTGTTGCCCGAGGACCAGAGAGCCTCCTCTTTAATAGTTTAGAGCTATGCTGTCTAATTCAGTAGCCACTAGCCACATGTGACTATTTAAACTTCAATACAACTATTTAAAATTAAATATTCAGTTTCTTAGTCACACTGGCCACATATCACGTGTTGAATAGTTACATGTGGCTAGTGGCTACTCTATTGGACAGTGCAGATTATAGAACATTTCTATCATTGCAGAATGTTCTATTGGGTAATTCTGGAAGTACTTCCTTTTTAAAAAAAAAAAAAAAAGAGCTTAAATAGAACTCATGGTATTTGAAACTTTGACATCTTGTATTAGAGCCCTTGAGGAAGGTAGAGAAAGTGGTCCAACCATTTGGCTATATGGACAAAGGGGGAAAAAAGTAGTTCTTTATGAAAAAAAGAGAAGAAAAAAGGTAGAAAAAGGTACCAGGAGAATCTGCATTGCTAGGGAGATAAACCTCCTGAGTTCCTTTGAACATTTCTTTTTAACTTGAGAATGGAAGAAGAAGAAGGAGAAGGAGGAGGAGGAAGAAGAGGAGGAGGAAGGAGGGAGGGAGGGAGGAAGGAAGGAAGGAAGGAAGGAAGGAAGATTTTTTAAAGGAAAAAATTCAAAAGCATTCTCAGTGGTGAAAGTTGTGGCCATTCTCACAAGAACTTACCTGCGTTTGTTGCTTGAATATTTTCTTTTTTTTTCTTTTTTTTTTATTTCAGCATATCATGGGGGCACAGATGTTTAGGTTACGCACGTTGCCCCTGCCTCCCTCACCCAAGTCCGAGTTTCAAATATGTCCATCCTTCGGGTGGTGCGCATTGTGAATATTTTCAATGACACTGTCATGCTGAAGCTTCTTGACTATTCAGTCATGAATCATGTGGGTCTTTAAAGACCTCAGTGGTGTTCTAAATGCCAGACTCAAGGGCTGACCCCCAAGCCCACACACTCAGTATGCCCAGTTATGAAAATTTCCATGGTTCTTTCCTGAAAGAACAAAACCTCATCTTGTCACCTTTTCTCTAACACATCTTAGATATTTTCTTCATCCACACATCCCAGAAAAAGTTAATCTTCTTTTAAATTTTAAATATTTTAAATATTCCTCTTCATCTTGGATCCTTAGATCAAAACATTGCTTCTAGCTTCTAGAAAACACTTGCCAATATATGTGAAATTTTTTAAGCCTCTGGAGATGGAGAAGATTGTCAGCTTTCCAAAGGTGTCTATGACTACAAAATTGTTAAGGGCCACCACTCAAATGGAGTTTAAAGGCATTAAGATGGCAAGGAAAAAAGAGGACCAAATGAAAAATATAAGTATGATAGTTCTTGGGTTGTCAAATAGTTCTTGAGCTTTTCCTATACACTTGGACTCATGTTCCCTACCCTCAGTTCCTCACACTTTTTTTGTGTCTATCCTTCTTCAGACAACCATTTTAGCTTTAATATGAGATGTAAATAACTTAAATTTTCCAGAGTATTTGGAATACTAGTGAGTACTCAGAGCATATAGACCCAACTCACAATGTAATAGTTGAGCTCAGACAGAATGGAGGTCAAATTGAATTAAATCTGTGTCTCGACATAACCAATTAGATAAGGGTGTTCATGTGCTGTGTTCCCTTAGTACAGGGGTCCCCAACCTATGGTGAGTTGTATAATTATTTAATTATAATGTAATAATAATAGAAATAAAATACACAATAAATGTAATGTGCTTGAATCGTCCCAAAACCATCCCCCCACTCCCTGGTCTGTGGAAAAATTATCTCCCATGAAAACAGTCCTTGGTGCCAAAAAAGTTGGGGACTGCTGCCTCAGTACATGGTAAAATCCTAACATTATTTGTAAAAGATTTAACTTATATACAACTAGACTAACCCCTAGATTGTTGCTTTTGTTATTATTGTTTTTCTCCTGACTTATTCCACCAATTTCTGCTAAAGGCTTTGAGAGTCACTGGCTATTAAATATTGGAAAGCAACTTCTGAAAGAGCCTCTTGGGCAGCATTTTCTCTTTACTTATACCAAAATCTTGGTCAGGAATTCTCTGTTCTTGGGTATTAGGTCTTAGATACTTTCTCTCTCTCTTTCTCTCTTCCTATTTCTATCTCTATCTCTCTCATCCCCAAAAGCCCAGGAATACTCTTTTGAAAAATAGGAATTAGAACATTTCTTTGACAACTGTACAATCATTGGTCTGGAAAGGAGGTAGAGACCAGTTTATTCCCCCATTGTCTGTTGGTCTGACTCAAAACAGTAGAAAAATATTACTGTTTTTCCTTCTTTGTAACTTCCCAAAGGGAAAAAAATATTATAGTTATTTATGGAAATACCATCCAGTGCCATGTGATCTTGAAAGAAAGAAACTCTTTGTAATTGCTGCTTCCTCTATCCCTTTCTCCAGAGTAGGTCCCATCTCTCATGTTCTCATGCTCAGCATAAATGAAATCTAGTTATCTACTATTGTTTATTCCAAGGAATTCCCTTGAACACTTGGAAATGCTGTGCCATGTTCACAAGGATTGCGGAAAAACTCCTTGCCCAATATCTCTCTTTGTTGAGTTTTGGAGCAAGCATGAATTAAATTTGCTCAGGGGTTCCTGGGCTAAGGGGCCCACTTTCTACTGTAGCTGATGTATGCTTTTTCCTTTAGGTGATTGCTGAAGAATTATCTGGAAATGACGACTACGTTGAGCTTGCATTCAATGCACGAAAATTGGATGACAAGGTAAAGTGTTTGGCCTTCACCTTATTGAAGGAAGTAATAAGGCGAGCACACACAGTTTAATCCAATTTACCCCTGAAGCTATTTTTTCCTTTCAACCCACATTATTAAACAGATCAAAAATTTCAGAGAGGTCTGCAAAATAAGTCTTCCCCCAAACTGAGAAGCCGTTAATAAGAAGGGGAAGAGACTATAATTAAAACAGGACAATTTTATTATACCAAAAGTTCACTCGTTTCTGAATGCCATAGGTCAGATGTGCACAGATAAATATGATTTAGCTCCATTGCTAGGGACATTCCAAGGGAGAAAAGAAGATGTGAAAGGGGGAAAAACTGACATTTATTAAGCACCTATCTTTGCCAAGTACAAGGTTAAGAGCTTTTTGTGCATTATCACATTTATTCATTTGTACAACTCCCATGTAATAGATATGATTAACACTGTTTGCAGATGAGGAAAGAGATTCATAGATGAAGTAACTTGTCTAAGGTCACTTCATGTGTTAGTCCAGATTGTCCAAGAAACAGACACCAAGACAGGAGTAAATATGAAGGGATTTTATTAGGAGAAATGCCTATGTAGGAAACATAGCATTAAGTCTGGGAAAGTCAATGGATCATGATGCAAATCTGACCCTAACCTGGACAGAGGGAGCAAAGAGGGGGTGGGTGGAAGTATTCTGAAATGCCATGAAGTCTAAGGAAAGTTCAGCAAGGCCATCAGGAAGTCCTAGAGCCAAAGTCAGCTATCAGGGAGTCCCATCTTTCCCCAAAAGGGGCTTGCCTTAATATCTCCTATGCACTCTATTACTGGCTGGGAGTAGCTCATGGGAAGCCTGGTCCCAGTGCAAATGCAGGGATAAATTTCAGAGCACAGCAGCCAGGGCCCTTGGTCAATCATACTCCCTATAGGTGGAAGTCTGCAAGGCATGTTTTCATGGCCAAGGTAACCTGCTAGTAAGTGAGGATTCAATCCTATGTCATTCTGATTTCCATCTATACTCTTTCTATTATACTACAACTTCTACCCAATCACAGGCCATGTTAGTCATATATATGCAAAAAAGGTTCTGTACTCTCCAGACCTTAAAAAAGCGGGGAGGAATGTCCTCCCCTCACCATATGATATCTATGATTTCCCTCCAACCATATCCTTAAGTCAAAAAACACATCACATCAATAAATATATTTACATAGGACTCCATTTTCCTAAAGTAAAACTAGAGAATTGGAATTTTTGGATGTAGTACCACTTTTTCAAACAATGACTTATAGGCATTAGGCGGAAAGTGGTAACACAATGTCTCAAGGAACTGTTTAAAGTCTTAAACCACAGCTTATATCCTGACATATCTCATTTACTTTTCACCTAGAAAAAATACTCAGCCCATTTATGCATTCACTGGTCCACACTTTTATTTGTTCATTTATTTATTCATTCATCATTCATTTGCCAAACCTTTGTTGGTGCTTGTTATGCTTGAGGTGCTGGGAAAAAGACATACCACAATCTGCAACCTGGAATTCATCATCTAAGTGAAACATACATTTAAAAAAATGATATAAAAATACTATAGTCATGATAGAATGTGATAAGTGACATATAATCAGAATGTTCTGGAGAGGGCAATTTATTCTGCCAGGGGACATCAGGAAAGACATTTATAAACTAAACGTTTTTGGATTTTTTAATGTCCTGAGCAGATTGTGTGAAGCCTTCACAAACTGTTACCTTTTGACATTAGCAGGAGTTAGGTGCTGGGAAGTGCAGTGTGCATTGAGGTCAGTTGGAAGTGAGCTTTTAACCTCACCTCCTCACAACAATTGTGCTCCTTCTCCTCCATTATCTTCCCAAGTTTCAGAAGAATCACAAAACTGCTTTAAAGTATCTTCCCTGGTGCCATTATAAGCCATTGGGTTGGCATGTAGCAGTTTTAAGCTACTCACTTAATGACTTATAATGGTTTCTCTACACCATTAGTAGTCTCTTAAGTACCTCTAATTTGTCCTCTGATTGACTTATGTTACAGTGCAAGAAAACTTGGGGGTTTGTTAGTGGGCCTGTTGGTTCTTTGGTGTTTGAACAGTTTCCCTTCAGTCAAATGAATACCTGCTCACAGAACTGAAAGAGTCCCCTGCAGCACTTAATATGGTTCTGAATGGCCATTCCACCATTGGCTGCACAAGTCACTGCTGGGCTTCATCACCGCAGTCCTATAGATCCCAGTTCCTTCATAATATGGCTGTGTCTTGTCCAGACTCACTAGTAATTCAGACAACAAAGCAGAAGCCCTTGCTCTGGTTTGGAATGGAAGGTCAATGGTCTCAGGTGGAAAGAAGGCAAAGTTGTAGAATCAAGGAGCAAGACAGTACCATGAAGATTATCTCACACAACCTCTTCAGGAAACAAAGGCTCAGCTAGGTCTGAGGATTAACCCAAAGACTCAATACTACTTCTCTGGTTTTCTATTGCTGCATAGCAAATCACCTGAAAACTAATGACTTAAATGAATAACTATTTTTTTATGTCTAATGATTTTGAGGGTCAGAAATTCAGTCAGGATTCACCTGAGCAGTTCTTCTGCTCTTTATGATGTTGATAGAAGTCATTCAGTGGTACTCAGCTGGTGGATAAGCTTGTCTGGAGGGTCCAAGCTAACTTTACTCACATGCCTGGCTCATGAGATCATTGAATGCCTGGTCTCAGCTGGAACAGTCAACCAAAGTGCCTACATAGTGGTCCTGGGTCAGTCACGCTTCCTACGGGGTGGCTGGCTTCTCCCAGAAAGAGCATCCCAAGAGAACCAGGCAGAACATCCATGGCCCTCTCTGACCTGGAAATCATGCATCACCACTTCCACTACATTCTGTTGGTTACAAGTGAGTCGTAAGGCCAGCCCAGATTCTAGGAGAGGAGAGTTAGACTCCATGCCTTGATGGGGGAGCGGCAAAGTTATATTTTAGAAAAGCATGTAGACCATGAACTTGTGGTGGTCATCCTTTATAAACGCAATCTACCACAATATTTTTGTGATAGAACCAGAATAAGATAGTACAATCATTTCATGTTATAGCTGGAAAAATGGTTCCCAGATGTTCTTAAGGAGAACCCCTTTCTAGCTTTTAGCATTAAATAATTGTATAGATACCTACATGTTATCAGTTGAACTTATTGTATCTATTAACTGAGAAAATATATCATGATTAAAAGTCACCACGAGGTGAATAAAGCTCTCAAATTTTTATTGCATTAATGAGTATCGTGAAAGTAACTGATTTCTACATACAGTTAAAAATTACAGTATGAATATATAGGAAAAATATTCTCTGTCCAATTCAGACAATGGCAGTAGGAGATCTGGATCCCTTTGCAGTAGCTCTGGTAATCCCCGGGAACCGAAATACCTCAGGTAGAAAGCCACTGGTCTAATCTAACTTCCTTCTTTTACATATGAGAAAACTGAGGTTCAGAGACATGAAATGACTTACCTAAAGCCACACAGGCACACACTCACAAAAAATCAGTGCCAAAGAGGGACTCAGTTAGGTTGCCTGACTAAAATCTAAATCTTCTTTCAGGACTGAGAGTTGATGAATAAATGTTGGGTTTGTCTCAGAATGTGGAAGACTTGGTAATACTCCTGTGTATTTCAGGGAAGTAGGAAGCTGGGGAGCAGGGAGGTCAGGGTATGCTGTAGGGTCCCCCAAGTGTGGTCCATGGTCTTAAGATCCTTTCAGGGGCATCTATGAGGTTAAAACTGTTTTCATAATAATACTAAACATTATTTTCTTTCTCCACGCTCATTCTCTCACACGTGTACAATGGAGTTTTCCAGAGGCTACCTGATGCCTAATATCACAGCAGACTGAATAAACAGTAGATATGACAATCCTGCTTCCTTCTAAAAGCCAGTCATTAAATTGATTTGCAAAATTGTAAAATAATACCATTTTTCTCACTATTTTTTAAATTTAGAAAATATAATTATTTTTCATTAAAATCCTATTTTTGTTATGATGCACTAGGTCTATTTTTATTATTTTTTAAATAATATAAGAAATGAATATTTTTTAAATTTATCAGTTTTATAATATGGTAAATATTAGTAGATATAACCTACATAAACAAGAGCTCTTTGGAGTCATGAATAATGTTTAAGAATGTAAAGAGTTCTCAAGACCAAGAGTTTGAGAAATGCTGTCATAGGGTGTATCAAGGAGCACTAAGTACTTTTGCAAACTGCAAAGATGGAGAAATGCCCCATTCCTCTTGACAGAAATAGTCATTTTTAACTTGCCTTTCCAATGCTGTTTAGCAGACCAGCAACCGTCTCCCCAGGATGGAAATCCAGAACTCTTAAAATCTGAGAGACATCTTTCAATGAGAACCAGTACATAAACTAGATTTAGTTTGTGAGAAATAATTTGTTTATCTAATGTTAATGCAGTTCACTTAATGGAGAGAAGGACTTTCTAACTTCCAAAGCACATTTATTACATTAGCAGATAGTTAGCAATTAATCTAACAAGTAGAGATAGGAATGTAATAATCACTTTGGAATATTCAAGCTGACAAAGTCTTCTTTCTCCTTCCCTTCCTGAGAAAATATTCATGGTGCATCAAAACAGATTCTCACACTAGTGGTCTTCACATTTGTAATAATCATCATTATAGATCACATTTTTAGTGTTCCCATGATGCTAGTTTGATGGGGTGCTGTATAAGTAAACAAATCTGTCTCTAAAGTGGAGGTCAGCAAACATTTTCTGTAAAGGGCCAGATGGTAAATATTTTAGGCTTTGCAGGCCATGTGGTCTCTGTCCCCACTACTCACCTCTGCCTTTGAAGAATGAAAACAGCCATCGACAATAGGTAAATAAATGGTGTTCCAATAAAACTTTATTCACAAGAACATTCAGTGGGCCAGATTTGGCTCATGTGCCATAGTTTGCTGACCCCTCCTCTAAAGCAACATAAAATCTCTGTACCTGCTGTGCTGTGATTTAACTATGTTCAAGTATGCCTGCCTGAGAACCGTAATCCAGTCTGCCTTGATGATAGAAAGTTACAATTATTGAGCATCTGTAATGTGCCAGGTGTCTAACCTACATTATCCCTCAAACTCATAACCATATTCCCAAAAGTGGGAATTTTTATTTCCATTTTACAGATGAAGCATGGTGAGGTTAAAATTTTTCCCAAAGTTACAGGTTTAGTAAACTGTAGAGCCTGGATATGACTCTGCATCTTTCAGGCAATTTCTTCTAGGTCCAATATTCCATTTTCAGAATCACTGTTGTGGATATGTATTGCTTCCTGATTGCTTATCACTCTCTCGCTTTCATATTAAACTACAAGGGCAGAGTAATATGGCTTCCATGTTAGTAAAGAATTTCGCTGTAGCAGAACTTTGGCAAAATGCCTCATTCATTTATCTTCATTGCCTGAACTGTCCCGGTGGCCATCTTAACATTGATGGTCATGCAAAGCTGAAAATTCCAGATTAAAGTGACCACATAATTAGACCCAGAGCTGTTGTTTTGAAGCTCTGGGTTTCTGAAGGTACACTTGATGTTTTTGAGCTGCTTATGAGTTGTTTTGTTTCCAGGAATCAGATGCCTTCTTAACAGTAATCATGCCTGATATTTGTATAGAGTTTTACAAAGTGTCTCCATGCATTCTCTCTTCTATTGATATAATAATCATAGCAGCCAAAATTTTTTGAATGCTTACCATGTACCAGGCACTTGACTCAACACTTCCCAGGCACCAGATCCTCTAATTTTCCCCCATCACTATGTTGCAAAGGGTGATGCTTTTTCCATTTATGGATGAGAAAACGAGATGGAGAAATTAAATATCTACCTAAAATCACCCAGATTATATGTCATAGGGTCGGGATTTGAAATTAATACTAAAGCCAGTATGCTGCATATAGATTTTTAGTTACTTGAACACAGAGACTGTATCTGTTCTTTCTTTCCCTGATTTATAGTATGTCCTCCTGACAACTTCTTGCTAACCCTAAATGGTATTTTAAAAGAAACGTGAAATAAAATAGAAAAAGCATTGCAATATACTACAAGTAAAAGGAATAGGGTACTAAATTGTATATAGATTATGATTGCAAATATTTTTTTAAAAGGAAGAAAGAAAAATATGTCTAGACTCTAGAAAAATATTACCAAAATATTATTGATGGTTGTAAAATTATGTGTGAGGTTATGCAGTTTTTTCCTATTTTTATCATTTTTCTATTTTTCTATATTTTCCATTTTTTAATCAAGGTAACTAAAGTTTTAAAAAGGAAAAAGCAAAATAATTGATAGAGTTCTTCCTTTGTGGTTAGCTGTTTCTAAGTACGATTCATAAACACATCCCCTGAGGGACCAATATCTATTTAAGGAAGCAAAGCATGAAGCTACTAGAGAAAGAGCCGAAGGGTGCATAGGAACAAGCTAATGTGGCCCACATTCATCAGGGAAGGGAGGAGAGAGGGAGGTTCCAATTTTTTAAGATGAATGTAGAAACAGAAACAGGCCTGAGGGGCTAATGTCTTGAGCAGTCTCCTAGAAGTGGGAATCAGCTAGACGTGTGTCTGGGGGAGAAAGGGGCCATTTGCTGGGAGAAACAGGTTTATGATGAAAGAAGACACTGTGGGTTCTTGACAAGATGAAGGCAGTGCTTTAGAAATAGAGTGCAAGGGTATATCCCAGCCTCTGGGTGTTTGGTTCCTGATTGGGTGGGGAGGAAAGAAAAGGGGGAAAAGAGTTATCCTCACCTCCTATCTCTTCTCTTTCTAACATGTCCTACATTTCTAGGCTGACATTCTTTGTTACAGAGCCAATCATTTATTTTTCTGCTCAAGATCCTTCAATGGCTCTCCACTGCCTCCTGAGGCCAGTACAGACTTTGGATGAGCATTTAAGGCCCTTCACATCCTGGAGCTGACTTTGCTAACATTGTTTCCAACTCCTCCCCTACACTTCCTTAGGCTTCAGTCCAATTAAGCTACATGGGGTATCTCCCTCTGTGTCTACTCTTTCACACTTCACTCAGGCTGTTCCCTCCTGAGGAAATATCCTTCTCATGACCATCTTTTCCCATCAAAATTCATCAACTCCTTCTTCTTCTCTGAACATTCCTTGTATCTTCATTCATTCATTCATTTTTACTTAGCCTCAGGTTATATTTATTTGCATATTTGTCTCACCACCAAACTAGATGGTACTTTGGAGGGCTGAGACCAGGTTCTCTCTCTCCCTGTATCCTAACATTAAGCACCAAAGCTCTGTGATCAGTATATGCTCTATAAATATTTTGCTGAGCTCAAGAATAGGATGGCTGGTAAAGACATTGATAGTAAGAGAAAATTTAAAAGTAGAGACCAAACAATGCACAAAAAGAAATAATGAGTTTGACTCTGGCCTGCTACCTTTTAGGGATAAAAGATGACTTTTAAGGCAAACATGGGCTTAATTCTGCTTTGCTACAGTCTAGATTTATGAAAAACAATTCTTTGGTGAGATACACAATAAGAGTGTGTTGACTAAGGCTATTGCTCAGATAGCCTTCTATCCTACACCAGGTGTTTATGTTATTCATCATTTATTTATATGTTCATTCATTCATTCAATAAGCACTATGTACTACTAAAATGTAACACCATGGAAGATGCTGAGGAAATAGTAGAAATATTTAATATGAAGGAAAATGAATAAAGTTTTTCCTCTCTTGAGAATTTATAATCCATTGAGATAAAAAAATAAGCTTAAAAGAAGGATAGAGATAGGTTCTACTTCCAACAAAAAAATACCTTTTTGTTTTACATCATTCTCCTGTTGAAAACAACTATAAACACTGAACAAGATACAAGAGACATCTGAGAATGCCTAAGGCAGTCAAGATTTGAGGGGCCAAGAAACTGGAGAGAAGAAAAATTGGTTCATCAAAATGATTCAGATATTCTGTGCAGATTTTCTACTCAAGGCAATTCCTCAAGGCTGATTCCTAAAATAGCTCGATGGAGAGGCTGAGAAGCCCAGCAGGAAATAGCTACTGGGAAACAGAGACTGAGCAGAGGTTTTGATGGCCTCATGGGGCTGGGGAAGAAAAAGGGAATTTCAGGACTGCTAAGAGAGCTAGGGCTAAAGACCCATAGATGCTTCAGAGAAGGGAAGTAGTCTGGTAGTCTGAGTGGCTTATCCTCTCGAGGCATTCACCAATTAGCAAATAGCAGCATAGAGAGAAACTGAGCAGAAATCTAGAGACATGAGATTATGGAGATAAATAGTGCCTTTGAGATTCTCACAAATACAAGTTGGCATTGAAGACTTGTCAAGAAGGAACAGCCCTCATAAACACTCAGGCTTTCAGTTAGAGCCCTTCCAGGACTATATCCAAGAAGTAAGGGAATCAGAAATATATTGGGCCTTTAAAGACTTTTGAAGAAACTCAACCTCTCAATGGCTTAATCCTGATTAGATTTGGGTGACTGTCCCCATTCTAACTGCTTACTGGAAGGTAAAAACTTGTGTAAAACCTTTATAATCTTTCTTACACAGTGTCTACTATTATTCAAAAATTAACAAGCACACCAAGAGGCAGAACCAAGAAACAGACAATAGAAACAGACCCATAAGTGATCCATTCATTATAGTCATTATATAGGCTTTATATTAAATAATAACTATAATTAGCATGTTTAAGGCAACAGATACATTGATTTTCAATGAATTGGCATTTGAATTGATCTTTGAAGAATACTTCAGACCTCAACCAACCAAATACTTACTTCACAAAGGATCTGGACTTTAGATGCATTTCATTCTAGCCAAAAGTGGATCACAGGGATGAAGAACAAAGCAAGAAAGGGTGATGCATAGAATTACAGGGCCAGGGGGAGAGAGTTTGGGTAGAATTGAGGCAGGAAGAGTTGACAAGCCTGGCCTCCATTCTATGTATGAACAATAGGAAATTAGGAGGGTTTCTTGTTGATTAAATCGTCCTGATTGATCAGGACTAGATCAAGTGCAGGAGGAAAAAAATGACAACTTATTGCTATTTATCTATTTTAGGATTTCTTCAGCAAATCTGACCCATTTCTGGAAATTTTTCGTATGAATGATGATGCAACTCAGCAGCTGGTGCACCGAACTGAGGTAAGAAGAGTCATCTTCAGCTATGCTACCTTGTCTCCTAAAATGATACATTGACCTGTTTTGAGGAACTCCTTATGTTTCTTAATGTCTATAGATATGTACTCAGGCTTGGAGTCTTCACTGTCCTCAAGAGGACTCTCTGCCATTTTTAGCTTAGTTTTTTTTTTTTTAAATTTCAATTTAGTTGTTAAAAGAGAAAACCCTCTCTAACCCCAATTTTCTATTGTTGACCTTCAATTCAGACAGCCAGCAACTTACTAATAATAAAAATGTGAATACCAGCTAACATTTAATGAGGATGACTAGGTATTAAGTATTCTACTAAGTGATTTACATGCATTATTTTATTTACTTCTCACAACAATTCCTTGACATAATTACTATTATTATCCTCATCTTACAGTTGAAGAAACTGAACTTTAGGGAGGTTATGTAGCTCTCCCAGGTCTCACAGTTAACAAAGAGTAGAGCTGAGGTTTAAATTGAGATTGGTTGATTCTGAGCTTCACTGTAATTTGGGGAGCCAATCTGCCTCCCCAGGGAAAGCACATTCACTGGACTGATGTCAATCTTATCATATGAACAGCTGTCCTGTCTCAGCTGCCACTTGGTCTAGTTGTATCTCCTTCTCACCCTCCCTACTCTTTCTCCATATAGTCCCAAACCCTATCCCTCATTGTCCTACCCCTATAACCACTACCACACACACATTCAACAACCAACCCCAATCTCCATTTTTTATTTTATTTTACTTATAAGCGGGTCCAAGAGGAATTCTGTAGGAGCGGGAAGTGCATTGATAAGATAGAAGTGGCATAATTGTGCTGAATGACTTAGAGCTGAGAGAAGACTGAGTTGTTGCTTGTATACTGGTACCAGGGTGAAAAAAGAAGGAACACCCATGACTTTCATAGGGTGATGGTGGGGGTGCTATGTTCCCACTACCCCACATTGGAAATCCAATGCATTTTCCTGAAGGAGCAGAGTTGCAGTTGGTATTAGGGGAACTTCTTATTGTCATACTTAAGACAGGGAAAACTTAAATAGTCTTGAATCGACTAGTTATGGATATCATTTGACACATAGTAGGCACCTAATAAAATGTGTTTAGTAAAAGAATAAATGAAGAGAATTGAGTATAAATAGTATGTCTACTGCATGCTATAGATTAGAACAATGTGATTCTCCGGAACTTAATCCCTGGAGAATAGATTGAGGTGAAGCTAGCACAGTTGCCCTGAGTGGCATCCCATCCCACCACCAAAAACAATCTTTACACATAAAGATCCCTTTGTTGAAGTAAACTTCTTTCGGGAGAAGTAAATAAACTTTGGGGAGAATTGGAAGTCGTATCCATTCATACTTTTGCTACAGTTGTGAATGGGGGTTTTAATCAGGGAGAAGGGATGGAATATTTTTGGACTTCTTCTCTCACAAGATCCTCCTTTCCTTTGCTCCTGACAGCATTTTTCTTTTCATTATTGATATTGGTAAATTCTCCTATTCCCAAGAATCTCTAGAACTTCCCCGCCTTACCCCAATGCTGAGGGGCTTCTGGGGTCTCACAGGAAACATGATTGCAAAGTTTTCCAATGAGTCAAGCAACATAACATTGATTTTTCTTGCTTTCTCAGTAGATACAAAATAAATACCAGGCAATACTGTTTACTTGGGGCAGCACACACACACACACAAACACACACACACATGCACACATACAGATTTTAGTTTCAGAGGAAATTTGTAGTTGTTACTGAGTTTTTTGAAACTGTTGCCATGTAACATTTTCACTTATTAGCATTTTCAAATCAAGGTAAGAAATTTAAATTAACCCAAACAATTTTATCTAATTTTCCTTTTTACTATCACTTTGATCATCCTCAGGGTATTAGGAGACATGACAAAGCCACACATACACGTTATTTCTCTACTTCAATGCATAAAAAGAAATTTGATGATGAGTCCATGATCTAGTCAATAATTCGTAGTTCTACTAAGGAATGCAGTAGAGGAGGCAATCACTTATAAAATAATTATGTTATTTGGGTAGAGAATTAATTTTTAAAAAATTCTAAGACTTCTGCTAACTTAAAAACTTCATAAAAAGAAAAATCAATATGACAGAATTCCATTTAACCTTATTTGTATGTCTCCTAGAGCAGTGGTTATCAAGTTTTATGCATCAGAATCACCTAAGAGGCTCACGTCCAGACTGTCTGTCAGTAGGGCTGAGTGGAGCCTAGCAAATTGTGTTTTTAAGAAGATTCCAGATGATGCAGCTCCTGCTGGTCCAGGAGCCACACTTTGGGAACCCCTCCCCTAGTGTACACAGTACAATGCTAGGCACAGAGCAGCTGCTCATACATTCTGAGCCAAACTGAAATATGTGAACCATAGTGATGGCAGGGTAAGACTTGACTCATGTAGACTCTTGGGCAGGATTTAGCCACGTTTATGATTAATAAACTGGTTTCAAAAGGGTTTACCTATGTTATAGACTTAGTCTATAATCTGAAGATCTGCCCTGTTGTGCCTTTCTGGGATATTCTAATCAAGATGGTGACCAGCTAGTATAAATGTGCTCTCGGGATTCTTCTTCATCCAGAAATTTCTCTTCTGACTTGTAATCTCATGTGACCCAGGGTCACATCATAATTCTTTCATGGTGGAACTGTCTTCCCACACCCTCTACTCCTGCCAAGAGTCCTTACCTCTGCTGACCACAAGAGAAGGGAATTTATGTCCTAAGACTGACAGTCCTACACAACTGGGGATGCTCTATCAACCACCAGAAGCAGCCCCACCTCCTTAATTTCAGCCCCTGTTGATATAGAAGGGATCATCCTCAGTATCCACATGCTAGAAAATATTATTATCATTATTCATGAAACAACAGCCAGAACAGTGACTGCGGGAGATCTGCTCATAATGACCTGCTTAGTGGGCACCCTTAAAAGATTTACTACCTCAAGTTTTTTATTAAGGCGCCTGTTTCAGGCAATTGTTCTTTTCATAAGCATTACAATGGCTTCTCAAGCAGTTTTAATGTGAATGTGAAAATGTCAAGCATTTTCTCCCCTACTCACCACTCCTCTCTTTCTTTTCCCAGGTTGTGATGAATAACTTAAGCCCAGCCTGGAAATCATTCAAAGTATCAGTAAATTCTCTATGCAGCGGAGACCCAGACCGCCGGCTGAAGGTCAGAAATCTATGTCTAAGAAATGCAATTTTTAAAATATATTTAACTCTCCTCTTTCTCCTCAAGCAAATGTTGGCAAACCCCAAATTTTCTGTATGATTTACCCAACCCTTCACATCTTAGCATCTTCTTAGAAGAAACAGGCTATTTCTTTTGCTAGAGCCATTTGAAGCTAATTGTGTTATGTCAAGAGGAAAAGCCCATGGCTTCTCCGAGACAAAACTGTGGCAATAAGTTCAGAGTATAACTGGGAGTTATTAAAAACAAAAATATTGCTATATCAATTATTAATTATTGTGTAAAAGACTATCCCAAGATTTAGTAGCTTAAAACAAGAACCATTTATTTAGCTTATGATTCTGAGCATTAGAAAATTGGGCTGAGGTAATCTAGGTGGTTCTTCTGTTAGTGTTGCTTGGACTTTCTCTGGCATTTGCAGTCAGGTACCCATGAGCAGGGCGGTGCTGGTTCTGGGGTTGACTGGCTGTTATCTGAAATGATGGGGGCAGGGGAAGGGCCATATGGCTCTCACCATCCAGCCGGCCAGCTGGGACTTATTCACGCAGTGATCTTAGGGCTCTAAGAAAGCAAAAACATAAACTACAAGACCTCTTTAAAGTCCATGCTCAAAATTCTCATAAGGTCACTTCCTCCAGGGTCTAGGCCAAAGCAAGTCACATGATCAAGGGGTAAGGAGACAGACTATACCTCTTGATGTGAGAAGCTGGAAAGTATTGTGGCCATTTTTTTCAATCTATCACAAATGCTTTTTGAGCACCGCAAGAATGTAGAAGTTGGAAGAAAAGGTGCATTTAGGAATCACCAAAGGAAGACAAGGGATTGAATGCCAGAAGCAGACTCCAGGAGATACTGCCTGTAGTCCATGTTCTGGACCTCCCTCTGTTTTAGAAGTCTAGAAGTTCCATGTTGTTGATGGCCCACAATTGACTCTACCAGGTCATGATGACTAAGTAAATTTACTGAAGACTGGTGCCTATAAACTGAAAGGCCAATTGATTAATGTTCAGTAAAAAACATGACAATCAAGCAGAATCAGCAGCCATATCAGTTTCACCAGGGCATTTTCTTGTGGGCAAAACACAGGAAGACAATCATCATAAGGTTGCTGTGATTGATAGAAACAAAGCTGGATAACTAAGACAGTTAATGGCTTCGGACTCTGAAATCTGGGGGCATTCACCTCCACTATGGGTGCAATGGTGCATCAGGCAGACTAAACATTCATGTTGACCTTTCGGGGCACCTCATCCCCTAAAAAATGTTAGATGGGCACTGATGAATTTACCTTTGTAACTTTACATTTTCCTTACTCCTTTTGCCCCACAAACCTTCTGAGGGATATAATTCTTTTGATTGGTAGATGCTATTAATCAAGTTAGAATTCTATCTAATTGGTTAGTCCCAGCCTCTTTAAGGTGACTTTATGTCATTGCTTAAACCCATTTTCTGTGAGCTTTGCAGTTGAACTCTAAGCAGACATGCTCATTCTATGTTCCTGAGGAGTAACGCAAGAGTTGTACCTGATATCTCCTGTAAGAGCCAAGAGATTTCAAGCCTCAACTCCCACTGGAAGCTGTCTTTCACGCCAAAATCAGGATTCATGGCTGTCCTGCACACTTATGCAGAGTGGCCAAGAGCTACAGCCTCAAGCGTAGGTGGCAATTATCACCTATAATCTGAGCAGCACCATCCTACTCCCAGGGAGATAAATGAACTGTTTTTGGCCAGAAATAAAATAATGCCTCCTTTAACCATAGATCAACTCTATCATGAGGAGTTATTAGATGGATAAAAATAGAGGATTATCTGTAATTGAATAAATAAAAGTCAGAGAAGGAGCACCTTTGTGGTCTTTTGAGTGCTCTGCTATCTATAGAGGAACAAGTGGGAGTAAAAGAGAGAGAGAGAGGAGAAAAAGCAGAAAGGAAGAAAGAAAGAAAGAAAGAAAGAAAGAAAGAAAGAAAGAAAGAAAGAAAGAAAGAAAGAAAGAAAAGAAAAGAAAGAAAGAGAGGGAGGAATAAAAAGGAAATAAGAAAGGAAGGGAGAAAGGGAGGAAGAGGAGAGAGGGAGGATGGGAGGAGGGAAGGACCAGGGTTTCTTCAGAGCTGCACTGTTGACATTTGGATTTTGCTGTGGGGAACTGCCCTGTGCATTTAGGATACTTAGCAGCATCCTTGGCTGCTAGACACCAGCAATATTCCATCCCCCTCACACACACTCACACACACCCCTCCCCATGTCAGTCAGACATTGTCAAATGTTCCCTGGAGGGTAAAATCACTCCCAATTAAGAACCACTGGTATAGACCAATGGTTCACAAACTTAGCCTGCATCAGAATCACCTGGGAGGCTTGTTGAATCCTCAGGAGCCCACAAAAATGTTTCAATTTCTTTTAAAATCAGAAGAAATAAATTAAGTTGTAAGATTGAATAAAATGTTCTAAGTTTTTTCTCACATCAGAAAACAGTGAACTTTTCAGGGCCCAAGAAAATCTATTCTGGTGACAGGGGCCCCTGAAGGCAAAAGTGCCTGGTGCCAATGAAAGTCATGATGTGGCCCTGTCCCAAATCAGGTCACCTCATCCAAAAATACTACAGTATGTGTTGCTAAAGAATAAGCAGTCTTTTTATAAACATAACCATAAAACCATTACTTCTTATTATCATAGTTAATATCATTAATATTAAGTATACTTCCTTAATACCATCAATTATTCTGCCATTATTCATATTTGCCTGATTTTCTCATTTATGAAACAGATATTTTTATTTGCTTTTAAATTAATATTTAAACAATGTCCAAGCATTGTATCTGACTGAGGTGTTTCTGGTGTCTTTTAATCAGTTAGTTTCTCTCTCTCTCTCTGTCTCTCTGTCTCTCTCTCTCTCTCTCTTTCTCTCTGTGTGTGTGTGTGTCTCTCTCTCTTTCTATCTTTCTCTGTCTGCCTGTCTCTCTCTCTCTTTCTCTGTCTCTCTCTCTCATTTCCTTGCAATTTACAAACCAGGGTGGTTTGTCCTATAGCATTTCTCATGTTCTGCATTTCCTATAAATAGGTAGTTGGGTAGTTGGGATTTGATCATATTTAGCGTCTGTTTTCTGGCAAGAATGCCCTCAGTATTATTTATGGATTTCTCATATATTTGAAGGTTTCAGCCTATTCCATTTATTATTATTTCTTTGGGATTTTAAGTTGTCCCATGTTTGGCTGATGAAAACCCCTTCAAGTTGGCTCTTGAGTTCTTTTTACATAAGAACTAATAGTGTTTAATTAATTTCCTTGCTTTCTGGAATGAATTTTTGAACTAAATGAATTTTGAAATTTTTCAATTCTTTTTCTTCATAGCATATATGTTTCTATGGGTGTTGAATCACATTATTTTTTACTATGTATTTATTTATTTATTTTAGAGACAGGGTCTCACTCTGTTACCCAGGCTGGAGTGTAGTGGCACAATCACAGCTCTCTGCAGCCTCAAACTCCTGGGCTCAAGCGATCCTCCTGGCTCAGCCTCCTGAGTAGCTGGAATTACAGGAGCATGCCACCATGCCCGGCTAATTTTCTAAATTTTTTGTAGAGACAGGGCTTCACTATGTTGCCCAGGCTGGTATTGAAGTCCTGGCCTCAAGCAATTCTCCCGCCTGAGAACTCCCAAAGTGCTGTGATTACAGGCATGAGCCACTGCGCCTGGCCTGAGTCATATTTTAATGTCTCTTGAAACAATTTCTCTTCGTAGTTAAACCTCTAGCACATAGAACTGTCAGGTTCAGTTGTTTCACTTTGTTTTAAATTTTTAAAAATTGCTTTCCAAATTTAATTTTGTTTTATAATTATATAAAATGTTTACATGGTTCCAAAGTCAAAACTGCAAAGCAAGGTATATTCAGAAAAGTTTAGCTTCTATTCTTGTTTCTTCCACTTTTTACCCCTTCCCTTATAGTTAATTATTTTGTAGTACATTTTAACACCTACTAGAGCTAGCCCCTCCCGCTTCTGTATTCCTTGTCTTTTTAAGTGTTTTCCTGAATATTTTACCTGTCTATTCTTTCCATTGAGATTTATAAACAACTTATCTGATACTATTAAAAACCCAAAACTTGATGGTATTTTTACTGAGATTGCATTAAATTTATAAATCGGGCAGAATTGTCTCTTTAATATTGAGTCTTCCTGTCCCAGAATACGGCATGCCTTTTCATTCTTAAAGTCTCCTTTTGTATTTTGCAGGAGTGCTTAAGGTACTTTTCTTATTTTCTGTTTCTCAGTTAGACCTTTTGTCTATTGTTTGTATATATAAAGGCCATCAAATTTTGTTTTCTTAAACTGCTATTTTATTAAGTTTTCTTATTGTTTACAGTAATTTTTCCATTAATTTGGGGAAATTTTCCAAATATATAATCATATATTCTAAAAATAGAGAGAGATCTTTCCTTCCTTATCTACTTCTTATGGCCCTAATAATTCCTCTTCTTTAATTGCATGGGCTAATACTCTCAATACAATGTTAAATGGTAATGGAGGTAGAAGGCATCCTTGTCTTAGTCATGAGTGTAGAGGAAAATCCTGTAGTGTTTTCCCATTACTTCTGACAAACATTAATTTTTTAAAGTAGCTCTGAAGGTGTCAGATGCTCAGTGCTTTCTCAACAATGTCTACTGAGCCTCAAATACCTGTGATATTCAATACACTTATATACCTTAAATATTCAGAGAAGACTCTTGTTTGTTATGGTAACCCTAGAGATAATAACACAAATATCTTCTGAACTATATAAAAGGCATTATACTATTTCTTGAATAGATTTAAAGTTATATTTGATATTAGCTATTTATTGAAATTATCTTTGATTTCTATGGCATATTACAATTTACAAAAGCCTTATCAAAATCATAATTTCATTTACTTCTAATCACATTGTGAGGTAGGTTTTATTATCTTAATTTTACAATGAGGAAACCAAGGCTGAAAAACCCATGTTG